TATTTTCATTGTAACAGGATTTTAACTAAACCTAATAAGAATTAAATTTCTAGTTAGAGATGAACATATAATGATCTTATATCGTTTTTTTAATTATAATGCATTTGTTTTATCCACCTAAAATGCTTAATGAGATTTGCTCATTATTACTATGATTAATTTTTGATATGGGTATAATTAAATTTCATAATATTAAGAACATATTTTATTTACTGTCAATAATTTGGCTCGATTTTGAATTAGATATTACCATTCGAAAAAATTTCGTAGAATAAGACTTGTAAGCTTTCACTTCGTTCCAGCCAATAAATATAAATACTAAGAATCAAAATCTAAAGCATAAAGTATCTTTAAAAAAAAAATAAAATAAGTATTCTTATAAACTTTATCCTGAACTTATAATATTTCATTACGTGAAGATTTGTCACCAATTTAACGATTTAATCGTTTATAAATTCTTGATTCGTTTAACTGATAATATAAATAAATAGCTAATCACGGTTAACTGTTCCAATCTCTACAATTAATATCTTTTCAAATTAAGTTACTTATTACGCGACTCTTTTAGTGAGTAATATTTAAACTTTTGTAATGCCGGTACTTATGAAAAAATTACATGAAATCTAATTTACTAAAACTTACGTAAATGACATTAAATGAAATTTTTGAAACATAACTCTAGGTACAGTTATATTAAAATCAGAATTCAATCAAAGATTAAAATAATAAATATAGTTTATTTCCTAGACGACTTTCTACTAGTAATGTTTGCAAGATGATTTAAACTTTTAAATATAACTTCCGTAGATGAGGATGGTAAATTATCTTTACCAGTTGACATTTTCATACAATTTTTTAACCACCTTGAAAGAGTTTTAAAATTTTGTAATTTAGCAGCATCTATATTATGATTTGAGATTAAACTTGTGGAAGAATTCGAATGAGAATTAATGTTGTTGATTCTATCTATAATATTTTTTTGTAACCATCTTAAATTATCAAAATTATTTTGTTTCCAAGATATATAAGCGAATTCTTCTAATACGTTGATGTCAAGAAGTGAAATGTCTATCGAAGGATTTTTTGATTTGTGATCAAGAGTGATTGGTGAAGAAAGTGAATGGAAATTTAAAACCAAGTTATTTAAAATTTCTTTAAATAGTGTAAATTCTTTTTTACGAAGTAAATATTTGATATAAATATAACCAATTTCAACATCTTTTATACAATATGGAGGATGTGGTAATTTTATAATTATATTATTTTCTGATAAAG